CCCCCATGAGTGTAAGTTATTGGCAAATGTTTACAGGAGAATCTCGTATTCCTGTGTGTGAAGATTTAGTTCCACACCATTTATTTCTCGAGTGTGACACAAAGAATGCTTTGGCACTACCCACAAAATAGGTCCTTAGATGGCAATGTAATTTCCTCCGAAGTCACTGTAGTCTGGGAAATACGGTGAAGTAATGAAGTGATGACAGGTATTAACATGCATAATGGGCTTTAATAGACATTTAATGTTGTTTAACTGGAAGAAGGAGAAGTGCTTTCCCATCGGAATATTTCTACATTGAAACTCATTGATCACCAATTTCAGAGGGGAAAGGTTAATCCATCAGTTTCTGTAACCAAACGGCACTGATGGAAATTCTTTAGGTGACATTCTGGATGAACTGAGCTTTCCATCTTTGCAAACAAATGAGTGATATGACAAGCACGGTGTTCAGAACACATTTAACCAATTGATTTTCTCTCCTCTTGTAATAAGATCTAGAGACATATGAAAGAGTGTAGCATGAGCCAAGATTAAAGGAACTGCTTCGTACACGCGAACATAGGGGAACTGCATTATCAATAAAAGTACCATAAAGCATGTGGGCACCCATTCTTTTTCTTTATATAAAGTTTGTTATTGCAATAAATAGCTGTTATTGAACTGCTTGCCTTTTATTTCAGTTTTTCCGAATTTTATTTCAGTTGGCTTTCTGCGGTTTCCTGGTAAATGTTAAGGAAAAAATGTTGTGTTTTGTTATGGTATCGTTTTTGCACTCACTAGTAAATCCAGGCCAACTCTGGATTTAAAACCAGGATTTATCATCCTTTGGGGCACGAAGAAAGGTCCAAGGGGGACGGAGGGACCTGACTTCAATGAATGTAAATATATCAAATATATTTTAAAGGTTTAATCTGTACGTTTCCATACCGTAATGACCCTCATCTTTCCCTTCCCTCTTCCCTCCTTTTTCTCCCAAATCCAGCCCTGCTCTGAGTTTCACATACCCTCCTACACCGGTATCCCTCCAGCAAATGCATCAGCAAATTATAAGTCGTCAGCAAACCCTAGGTTCTGCCTTTGGACACAGCCCTCCACTCATCCATCCTGCACCAACTTTTCCTACCCAGAGACCTATCCCCGGCATCCCCAGTGTCCTGAACCCTGTCCAGGTCAGCTCTGGACCTTCTGAGTCCACACAGGTGAGAGACAACAAAAGAATTACCTTTGCACCCCATTAATTTAACAACGAAACAAATGAAGCAAATGACATTGTCTCGATGGCAATTAATCACCACTGTCACCCAGACCCTCTGATAACAGTTTTCTTGCAGCTATAGCATTTGCAGTCCCTTTATTATAAATCACAGGGGTGTATGCAGGGTTCCTGATTGGTAGCGTGCTTTTTAGCCCTCATAAATATTTCAGCGTGCTGCAGCAGCTTCTCGTGCCAAGCTGTCTCTCCTGGATCTTAACACGGGAACTTGATAGAGGTGAGGAGTAAGAAAATGGGGGGGGGGAAACAAACCCATCAAAACATGAACATTTTCAAGATCAGCAGCTTCGCCCCCGAATCAGGCCGGCTGTAACGTACATACAGAGGGGGAGTAATTAAAAGTGAGTAACTCAGCCTGTGAGCTACAGAGGAACTCAGAAAGAGGTTTGAGGTTTTTTTTCCTCTGATTTGTGCAAAATGATGGGACTTGGCCGAGTGGGAATTAATCATTTCAATAAAACGAAGTGTGTCTGTGAGCCACGGAGGAACTCAAAGAGAGGTTTGAAGGTTTTTTTCTCTGATTTGTGCAAAATGATGGGACTCAGCTGAGTTGGAATTAATCATTTCAATAAAACGAAGTGTGTTCTCAAAAGCTGGAGGTGAGCAGCAGTGAATCAGCCCCAAATGTGGGGTTTATCACTGTTCGTGGTTTCCCTGCTCTTAACCAGTGCTGTTTGTTACCAGATGACCTGGGATAGGTTATTTATCAGTCTGGGAGCTGTTTATCTCCTGGCTAGCTTTTACAAATGTGGAAGCAGAACATGCTGCTGTAGGAAGCATATTGATTTTTTGGTGGGGTCCATGCAAGTTCAGATATCTCTAAAGGATCTCTGGATTCCTACAAGATCCATTTGCGGCTGTAGATAATGGTGTTCAGTCTAGCACAGCAAGAGAAAAACAAGATTCTGGCCTGTTCATGTCAGGAATAGTTTTGCTATTGACTTGGGAGAATCCGGGACTTCCACCTAGGATTTTTTTGGCTGAGTCTCGTGCTAGTTTTCAGTTTTTCTTCCTTATCTGCCATCATAATGGGAAATGCAGTAAAAGAGCTGAAGTCTTGTGTGCAGATGTTAAGTGCAAAGCCTTTCCTCCAAGCGTGAAAAGAAGAAATCTTTCTCTTGTGCTGATTTGAATGAGTGGGCAGTGATTTTGCTTTTGGAAATTGCCTTTCTGAAGTCGTCGTTATGCAGAAAATAGAGTTCTCCTTATGGACCCCTGGCCTGACAAACCCAGTGCTGGTTTGTAGCACGGAATTACTTCAGATGCCCTCCTTCCCCTTCCCTCCCTGCTCCTTTACAAGGTTGAGTGATGCAGCTCTTCCAGGAGTTAACACTATGTCATTGAAGCCCGATGTAATTGCATATCCGATACAATTAACAGCCCAGCTTCTCCAAATAAAGTTGCTGAGCAGAGGCTGCATATTTTTGTTTGGAGCTACGTATTTATCGCAGTCTAATTGTGTCTTCTTTTGGGGGGGAAAAACCCCACCCTGCCTGCAGCAGAACAAACCCACGAGCGAATCTGCGGTGAGCAGCACTGGAGATCCCATGCACAACAAACGCTCCAAGATAAAGCCCGACGAGGACCTTCCCAGCCCAGGAGCAGGAAGCGTGCAGGTATGGTGGTCAGCTGGTGGTCAGAAGCCTTTCTTCTCTTTGTCAGAGAGAAAATGCATCCTGAAAGTGTTTTCGGGCTTCCTGCCCTCCTACGGCCCTTCATCTCGTGCACACCAGGGCAACCTCAGCTCAGGGTGGCAAGGGTTAAACGGGGGCTGGAGGGGCTGCTGGGTTGCAGAAGGAGGGCAGAGAGGCAGGAGGCTGATGGAGAGCCTTCTTCATATATTTTTATATTTTAAATAAATATATATATTATTATCATTTATATATTTATACTTATATTCTTATATATTGTATAATATATTTATATAATATTATTATTTATATATCTATGTATTATTTATATATTACTATTACATTTATATATATATTTATATTTTATATACTTAAAATACTTTTAAGTATTTATAAATACTTCAAGGGTGGGTGTCAGGAGGATGGGGCCAGTCTTTTTTCAGTGGTGCCCAGTGACAGGACAAGAGGGAATGGGCACAAACTTGAACATAAGAAGTTCCATCTCAACACGAGGAGGAACTTCTTCACTTTGAGGGTGGCAGAGCCCTGGAAGAGGCTGCCCAGAGAGGTGGTGGAGTCTCCTTCTCTGGAGACATTCCAAACCCACCTGGACATGTTCCTGTGCAACCTGCTCTGGGTGGACCAGCTTTGGCAGGAGGTTGGATTAGATGATCTCCAGAGGTCCCTTCCAACCCCGTATCGTTCCATGATTCTCTGAGAGATGCCTCTGGTCAATCAGAGCGTCCTCAACCTGCTGTTTGCCGTGCAAAAGTGAACCAGAGACATTTGGGTCTTTATTGAGGACATGTTTTGTGTTCAGCCAGAATATTTAGGCCATGTTGACTTTTACCAGGTCTTCTTACAGTACTGCATTGAGGGCTCCATGTCAGGCTCCAGTCTCATTTGCAATACTTTCAGTACCAGTTAACGCCACTGGTTTTAGTAGAGCGACTCCTGATTTACAGTGACTCGGGGTAGATGAGAATCAGACCCCTGCTTTGGCAGGGGGGTTGGACTAGATGATCTCCAGAGGTCCTTTCCTGCCCCATAGCATTCTGTGATTCTGATCTCGTGAGTCAATCCATGAAACCAAAGCAGAGGTCCCACTAAATCCTTCAGCAGGTTTGAAATGGAAGAATAGGGTGAGTGCATAATCCGAACCAAATGTTTACACTGACATCCGACCCTTACCCTGAGCACAGAACAAGCTGGGAGGAATGAGGCACCTGGAGGGACTGAAGGTGGAAAGTCAAAATGCAAAATTAAATACTCGCTCCCCTGCTCCCCCCCTTTTCATGCACGGATTATGGGCAAGAACAGACTACTAAAGAGCCTTAAAATTACCAGTCTGCTCTTGGAAAGGTTTTTGTGTGCAAAACGGTCCCTGGATTAACCATGAGAACTCACCTGGGATTACTGGGGATCTGGTTTGTGTCTAACAGGAGTACAGAAGTCAAATTCCAATTAATTCGACTATATTGAATGGTGCCTTTTTCACTAGTGGTGCCACTGAATAATAAGGGGCAAGTGTGTACGAATAAAAAGCTGGTTAAATGTGGGGAGAGGCAAGCCAAGCCTTTATGATCTGCTGTGAACTGTGCCCTGGTTTGAGGTAAAACAGAACGGTCCCTGGATTAACCATGAGAACTCACCTGGGATTACTGGGGATCTGGTTTGTGTCTAACAGGAGTACAGAAGTCAAATTCCAATTAATTCGACTATATTGAATGGTGCCTTTTTCACTAGTGGTGCCACTGAATAATAAGAGGCAAGTGTGTACGAATAAAAAACTGGTTAAATGCAGGGAGAGGGAAGCCAAGCCTTTTTGATCTGCTGTGAATTGTGCCCTGGTTTGAGGTAAAACAGAACTAATTTTCTGTTCAGTAATTTTACTTTTTGAGCTGGGCCTCTTCTAACTAACTAAACTCTGAAATTACAGAATCACAGAATCTTCTAGGTTGGAAGGGACCTTAAAGATCATCTTGTCCAACCGTCAACCTGACTGACAAAAATAGACACCCACACAACAAACAAGAAGCATCATCACTAAACCATACCTCCCAGCACTACATCAACCCGTCTTTTGAACACCTCCAGGGATGGGGCCTCAACCACCTCCCTGGGCAGCCCATTCCAATGCCTGAGAACCCTTTCAGTGAAAAAATTTTTCCTAATATCCACCCTGATTAGCATATTATTCAGAAACTGTTCACTCTCACAGTGATAAGATCTGATTATACCCCCATAATTTGTCTATATTTTATATAGACAAATAGAAATGTAAAGGAATTTTTTTTGTTTTAGAAATTCACTCTATTGAGTACTTCTGGGGTGGAAAAAATTCTTTTCACAGATAGTCTGTCCGTGGCTTTTGGCTTACCAGGCCTTACTTGGGCTTCTGAATTTTGTAGAATGCAGCAATAGTGTCAACTGAGAGTAAAATAATCTACACGCCCACCCCCATCTTTCTTTTAATGCTGAAATAATTTGCTTTTCTTCCTCCTCGGTTTCAGAATTTCCTCTCTCCTCACCCCTGGTTTTTTTTTTTTTTTTTCTCTCTCCAGGAACAGCCAGAAGGAATGACCCTGGTAAAAGAGGAAGGGGACAAAGATGAAAGCTTCAGAATTTCCTCTCTCCTCACCCCTGGTTTTTTTTTTTTTTCCCCTCTCTCCAGGAACAGCCAGAAGGAATGACCCTGGTAAAAGAGGAAGGGGACAAAGATGAAAGCAAGCAGGAGCCTGAAGTGGTGTACGAGACAAACTGCCACTGGGAAGGCTGCTCCCGGGAGTTTGACACGCAGGAGCAGCTCGTGCATGTGAGTTAATGGTATTCAGGAACTGGGTTTTAAAACTCCGCGACCTTTTTCATGGGGGTCGGGTTCTGGTGACCCCGTGCTGAGTCAAGTTTCTCAGCTCACGGCGCTGCAAACTGGAGAGGGGTTTATGAGTTGCTGAGAATAAAAGAAAACTCGGAGCCACGGTGCTTGACCTGTTCAGTCAGCTAAAGCTTAGTGTAAAATTCAATAAAGTCTTCAATAGAGATTGTAATGGCTCTGATCCTGTAAGCCAGCAAACGCTATTTTGAGTTAGAGACTTTGATAGTTATTGAGTAATAGTAAGCTGGACATGAATTATTATTAACCTTTAGCCAAGTTTGATTTTTTTTTTTTTTTTCCTCCCAAAAGGGACTGTAACAGTAGAAACGGGCAAGGGGAATTCTTCCCCTTTCCTAAGGGGGATTTTACATACTTTACTATTACGTATAAACTGAAGTGGATTATTTAGCTAAATACGTGGAGACTGAATTATTTCAGTCTTCTAAGCAAAAGCAAACTGTATGGTCTTACTTAAGCTACATCAAATATTAGTCATGTCTGCCTTGCCTTTTCTTCCTCTCTATCACTTCTCCAAAATAATTTTTTTTTTACTATTTTGTTGTGTTGTAAGTTAGAAAAGGAATGATTGAAATCTAGAATATAATCTGACAAGTACAACCCCCCCTAGCAGCACCTCTCTTAATTACCAGCATCACAGGACATAGCTAAATACTCCAGGAAAAAAAAAAGGAAGTCCTGATTCAGATTAGAGAGAAACATCCTCAGCAAACAATCCGTGTGTCAGAATCATATTTATTGTGGAAAACGGTTTTACACTTTCCTTAGATCATGCAAAATCTATCGCATAACATGCCCAGTGCTACTGAAAAGTGTACTTTCCCCCCCAAATTAAAGAACCCCACCGTATATTTCCAAACACTATGCAAAATGGTAAACTGATGCTGCAAAGGGGACTTCCATCAAGCAATGCCAGCTTTTAGTTCTTGGAGTGTGAGAGCCGTTTGGTGTTGCAGTTATTCATCAAGATATATTTTCAATTTCTGGTTATTATTAGGTAGTAGTAGTAACAGTAACAATAGCAATAATAATAAATGAAAGCCCATCACAAATTAAAATAATGGCAAAAAATTGAGATTTTTTTTTTTATAAGAATCCTTTGGGTACATTTTGCACAGAAACACCCTAAGATTTTAATAGGCCGGGATGAAATGTGAGGAGAGACTCTTTCAGTGTCAGAATGTCTTTTGGGGAAAAAAATGCCATAGGAATGGCTGCTGCAAAGGGTTGGGCACGTTTAAAAGATTAAGTGTCAGTCGTGCAATTGATTCCATGCAAACAGACCAGCTGACATCATCTGGGGCTCTGCCCAGGCACAGTCTTTATATTTGCTAATAATTGTAAGGCTGAAACTTTATGATGCCTGGCAAACCTTTCTCAATATTCAGAAATGATCCTAGTGATGATAATAAATAATTTACGCCAAAATATATGAAATAGAGAATAAAAATGCCTTGGTAATTAAAAAAAAAAAAAGGAAGAGGGGGTTTTTTTTAAGGTTTCAGACATAAAGTTTCATTTAATTTCACTGTGCCTGGTAGCTAATGTTTTGTAGTTTCAGATGAATTAAATTGACAACATGTTAGTTTGGGGTTTTCTTTAAGTGCATTTGTTGTTTCTAGTGTGATTTTTGTAGTGAATTTGACTGTACTATAGGAGTAGCTATAGTACAATAGTAAGACTCCTTTAAAAAAAAGTGCATTTCTTCTGTTTCTGCGCGATGGCAACATCTGAAATAGGTTTCTCCAGACATAAAGAAGGCAGATAAAAAATGTTTCTAGGATACGGGGAGTTCTTTTTGGCAGGGCTCAGGATTCAGATATGTTATGATGGCATTTAAGATTACGAGGTGCAAGTCCTGACTCGATACTCCGGAGACAATAAAATCATCATCATCATCATGGCAACCATCATCCTCAAGTAGCACAAATCAGGCTGTAAGAGCCGGTGTGACTCCGTGATGGAGCCCTGGGTGTGATTTCTTTTGCTGCTGTGACAGAGCCCTGCTGGGGGGACTTGAGCGAGTTATTTCCGTCCGGAATTGCAAAGGGTTTTAAGACATCTGACTCTGTTGGAAAGGCTGGCCCTTCACCCTGGTCTGTCTCTCCCAGGTTTTATCTGCCCTTGATTGCCACAGCCAGCAGCAGCTGGGGAAAGGAAGCCTGGATCTCAGTAGGGCCCAGAGTCCTGTGGTGCTAGATGCTTCTCAAATGCAACAGAAGGATTGGCCCTGAGGTGGGCGTGAGGTCTTCACCCTGCAGCTCCAGGGCCACGGAGATGAGGCTGTTCCATGCTGTCTGGAGGTACCTGAGCTAGCTTGAAGGACTGCAGCTGGGATGATGCTATTAACCTTCAAATCTTGCAGTAGAACGCTGCCACGTTGCCTCTCCTGGCTGCCCGTGCTGCTGCTCTGCAGGTTATTCCCAACCCACGGGCAGACACAGCAGAGCCGAGCTTGAAGGAGCTCTAGAGAGGTCATCCTCCCACTCTGCCCTGCCCTGGTGCAGAACTCTGCCACGTTGCTTCTCCTGGCTGCCCACGCTGCTGCTCTGCAGGTGATCCCCAACCCACGGGCACATGCAGCAGAGCCTCGGTTGCTGCAGCCGAGCTTGAAGGAGCTTTAGAGAGGTCATCCTCCCCCTCTGCCCTGCCCTGGTGAGGCCCCATCTGGAGCACTGGGTCCAGGTCTGGGCTCCCCAGTTCCAGAAGGACAGGGAACTGCTGGAGAGGGTACAGCAGAGGGCTACAAAGATGATGAGGAGCCTGGAGCATCTCCCTTATGAGGAAAGGCTGAGGGACTTGGGTCGTTTTAGTCTACAGAAGAGAAAGCTGAGGGAGGATCTAATCAATGCTTATAAATACTTCAAGGGAGGGTGTCAGGTCGATGGGGCCAGAATTTTCAGTGGCAGGACAAGAGGAAATGGGCACAAACTTGAACATCAGAAGCTCCCCCTCAACATGAGGAGGAACTTCTTTCCTATGAGGGTGGCAGAGCCTGGAAGAGGCTGCCCAGGGAGGTGGTGGAGTCTCCTTCTCTGGAGGCATTCAAACCCACCTGGACATGTTCCTGTGCAACCTGCTCTGGGTGGACTTGATTTGGTAGAGGGGGGTGGAGGAGATGATCTCCAGAGGTCCCTTCCAACCCCATATCATTCTGTGATTCTGAGCGAGATGGTGGGCTGCCATCTGGGACATCAAAAGTATAGATAACCATCCTGTTTTGTTGACTTTACTTTGGGGTAGTAATCAGTAAGGCAGGGGTAACTGATGTGGATAAAGGCTTAAATTACCCTAGTAGGACCCACCTAGATAACATCTGCTAGCTCCCCGGCGCTCAGAAAGGATGATTAGCATGAGCAGAGAGCCACAGTTACATGTTCAGAAGTTGGGTGGGTGTGATACAGTAGTGCACGTGTGATACTAAATCATACTGTGTACACACACCTACTTGGCCGTCCTATGGGTAGTCAAGTGAACTGTATGGCGAAAATAAGAGTGAGCTATATAGACCTTCACAAAGGATTGGGCAAAAACCCTTCTCTGTCACCGACTTCATTGAGTGTGTGGTACGTAGCATATATTCAGTAGAAAGGAAGTTGCATTTGTTATTTGACTTGAAAGTACTTAGAGTATTCTTTCACCTGTACAACTCTCTAAGCCAGTTTCCTGGGCTTTGGATGTTTGGCTGGGAAGAGGAAACTTGTAAAATGCAGAGTTTCAGAAAAAAAAGACCTAAAGCCCGTTCATGTGCATCCTGATAAGGCTACATTTTCAGGATCTATGCAGGCCAGCAGTAAGTCTTTTAATAAATATGGGAGTTTTTTTCAGGCGAATAAAGCTACTGTTTGTAGCCATGCGTAATATTAAGATATCATACCCGAAATGTCCAATGGCGCAGAACAGACTGTTATCCAAGCCTTGCATCCCAAAAAAATGGAATTGTAGAGGAACTGGGGTGCTTAGGGAAAGGGTGGAAGTATGTTTCTAGCTGTTTGTATCGTTTCCTAAAGGTTTAGGTACCTCGGCATGAATTGTAGTCGCGCCAGGTTGAGCAGAGCTCAGGAGAGCTTTTCCACAATGCACACAGTTCATATTATAGATGTCATTACCCCAGTCATGTACAGGGTGTGTACACAAGCACATATGTATGTGTTTCGCAAGGGGTAAATATAAATTTATGTATATTCTGGTCTTTCTGTCACATAACAATAGCTTTATTATCTTTTTGGGAATGATGGGACCTGTTTTACTTTGAAATGAACTGTAGATGAAGCAGATCCTAGCAATACCTGCATTACAAAGTGATGGGGGAAATAGCATGTATGAAACAGTAAATACAAACAGATTTGTGTCTGAATATATGATACAGCTTTAGAGCAGAAATTGCAATTTTGGGCACAATAGTCAGTGTTTGATGGCATTTTTCTGCATTACTTTCTGTGGCACAGTCCTCCTGTTACTAGTGTAAAATGTGGGCGCTAGTGAAGGTGTGCTTAAGCCCCAAGAGACATTGTTTCCTGACTGAATTTATGAACAGAACCTGGGCTGCTGCGAATAAATAACTAAAAAGCTACATAAAAGAATCGTTATGGACCCACCCAGAAGGGTTTGACACCGCAGTGATTTTGGCATGGGAGCTCTTATTTCCAAGCGACGTGTGCCGCTTAGAATTCGGCGCGGTTACATTTTCATGATACATCCACCAAAAGGCAAGGTGTTAAACCATTCAGACGCTCTGCCTTATTTATAGCACCTATCCATCCTGCCTCCCTCCTCCTCTCCCCCCCCTCTTGGAGTTAATAGAAAGATTCATGATTCTTCATGGTTGTCTATCTAGCGTCTGACAGTACCGACTGCCCTGCTAAAGCAAGTCACTATCTATAATTGATATCCTTCTATGGAATAGGGTACCGGCTGCAATT